TCCCTCATGGAAGTTTCCTCATTATCATTCCCAGGACTGGCTCCATGGTTTTTGCCGCCCCAAGCAGCGGGGTGGGGGGGGGGGAAGAGGAGCCGCGATCACAATTGGTGGCAATCCAGCAGCAGCTCCACCGCGCCGCTTTCTTCTTCAGCGGGAATTCGGCGGCAGGTGCTTCCCTCCGAGAGGGACCCGCCACCGAATTGCCGCGGAACAGCCCGACGTGCCGCCCCTTCCTCTTGGCCACCCCAAGCACCTGCTTGCTGGGCTGCTGCCTGGAGCCAGCCCTGATCATTCCATAAGAGAGGGGGTGTTGCAGAATAGGCTCAGAGTCCATTCTCAAATCCACTCAGGCTTTCCATGTATCTCAGGGGATTAGCAGGAGGGCAGGGTCATCTGTGCAAAGGTGCCTTCACAGCTAGATCTGTGCTTTTCCCTGGCCCATAACAACTCGGCTCCACTGAAGCTATGCTACCTTAAGAGAAATCTCCACTGTTGAGGGGACTCAGTGAAAAGGACAATACTGTACTGTCTTTGCTTACCAATCTATCTGGGGCCAATAGGTCTTTATTTCTCCCCAGCACACCCATTCCCCAGCTCTTTCCCCTGCATAGGTCCCCAGACCAACAGGCAGACCTGTAGAGTTCAATGAAATTGAAGACAGGGCCACAGAGGCAGCCAAACCCCCCATTTCACACAAGGCAAGCTCCACATATACAATCGCCCGCCTTGCAATTAAATATATACTTTCATTTCAATCCCTGCAGCTAAGATCTTTGTTATTGTGTTGGCCGTCTCTCACCTCAGCTACTGCAGCCACCCTTACATCTCTCTACACCACTCCATCCAAAATGCTTCTGCAAAAATTACCTGCCTTTGCTACTGCTCTGAATGCGTCAACCCTAACTAAATGACTTCATTGGCTCCCTCTCTCCTTTCACGTATAGTTCAAGCTCCTCATTCTAATTTTCAAGGCTCTTCACAACTCAGCCCCTGCTATATCTCTGCACTCATTTTATCCCATAGCTCTCACTCCTTAGGCCGTTACATATCCTCTCTCCTAACTGATTCCTCGTGTTCTCCCATTCCCAGCCTTGTGTTTTCTTTTGTGCTACCCAATATTGTTGGAGCAGATATCAACTTCCTGTGCACCACTCATCTTCTCTCTTTCAAATTCTTCCTTAAAATCCACTTCTTTCACACAATTTTCTGATGTTTTGATTTAAGCCAAGTTTTGCAGAAGTAACTAGTGGTCTGGAGTTCCTGCATGGATGGATCTTACAGAAGACTGATTTCAAGTGTTGAGCAACCCTCTGAAAATCAGGGGCCTTTAAGGTGAAGCAAATCACTACTTCACTAGTCATTTTTTTTAAATCTTGTCCTGTATCTCTGTCTCCTACCACGTGAACTGTTTGCCTGTGAACCATATTTGTCTGAGTTAAACTGCAAGCACGTATCGACAAGAAGCTAGTCTTTTTACATGGATAGTTAACGCATTCTGCAAGGAATTGCATCCAATGTCTATTCTATCAATCTTTCATCCTTAATCAGTCTTTTTCTATATAAAGTGTCCATCAGAAGTATTTAGGCATTGCCCCAATAAAGTAAAAGCTCAACTTTGGTCTCAAAGGGCCATACTCTAAATTTTATGGAATATTCATAGACTCCTAGATCAGGAAGGACCATTATGATCATCTAGTCTGAGCTCCTGTATATGACAAGGCCATAAAACTTTCTGAAAATAATTCCTAGAGTATATATTTTAGAAAAACATCCAACCTTGATTTAAAACTTGTCAGTGATAAAGAATTCACCATGAACCCCAAATCTTTTTCAGAGTCACTGCTTCCCAGGATAGAGTCCCCAATCCTGTAAGTATGGCCAACATTCTTTGTTCCTAGATGGATACATTTACATTTAGTTCTACTTTTGCTTGTGTCCAGTTTACCAAACAATCCATATCACTGCTTATCAGTGACCTGTCCTCTTCCTTATTTACAACTCCCCCAATTTTTGGACCATTGGCAAACTTTATCAGTGATTATTTCATGTTTTCTTTCAAGTCATTGATAAAAATGTTAAACAGTATAAAACCAAGAACAGACCCCTGTGGGATGCCATTAGAAACATACCAGTTGATGATGATTCCCCATTTACAGTTACATTGAGACCTATCAATTAGTCAGCTTTTAATCGACTTACTGTACATCATTAATTTTATATTGTTTTAGGGTTTTTTTAAATCAAAATGTTACATGGTACCAACTCAAACACCTTACAGAAGTATATTATATGAACACGATTACTTTTATCAACCAAACACGTAATCTCATCGAAAAAATATTAATTTAGTTTGACTGGATCTATTTTCCATAAATCCTTGATTGGCTTTATTTATATCACCCTCCTCTAATTCTTTACTGATTGACTCCCATATCAACCACTCCATTATCTTACCCAAGATCAGTGTCAGAATGACAGGCCTGTAAATTACCTGAGCCATCCTATTTACCCTTTTTAAATATCAGTGTCATGCTGTCTGGAGTGACTCATGACCGTAAGTGCCTACCTAGACTGTCAAAAGCAGGGCAGACACCGTAAACTGGTTGTATGTACTCTAATTAGATTTCACCAAGTACAGTAGAACCTCAGAGTTACGAACACCTCGGAAATGGAGGTTGCTCATAATTCTGAAAGGTTTCAGAGTAGCAGCCGTGTTAGTCTGTATCCGCAAAAAGAAGAACAGGAGTACTTGTGGCACCTTAGAGACTAACAAATTTATTAGAGCATAAGCTTTCGTGGACTACAGCCCACTTCTTCGGATGCATATAGAATGGAACATATATTGAGGAGGTATATATACACACATACAGAGAGCATAAACAGGTGGGAGTTGTCTTACCACCTCTGAGAGGCCAATTAATTAAGAGAAAAAAAACTTTTGAAGTGATAATCAAGCTAGCCCAGCACAGACAGACAGTTAGATAACAAGTGTGTATGTGTGTATATATATCTCCTCAATATATGTTCCATTCTATATGCATCCGAAGAAGTGGGCTGTAATCCACGAAAGCTTATGCTCTAATAAATTTGTTAGTCTCTAAGGTGCCACAAGTCCTCCTGTTCTTCTTTTTGCGGATACAGACTAACACGGCTGCTACTCTGAAACATCTCCTATGAGTATACAGCATATACAAGCATAAGTATATGAGGAGCTCCCAAAATATAATAAGGACATGTCAGATTTGTAGTCTGAATTAGTGTGTCATTGTTTTTCATCTGTGAGAATACTGTAAAGTGTATGCATGGAAGGGTGTGACATTGTCCCGGAGCTACTGAGATGGATCTACAAACATCTTTGTGAGACAATCAGGGGGAGAATCTTTTCATTTGTTTATATAGTCTGGTAATGGCTGTAGAACTAAATGTGAAACTCTCCTATCATATAGATATTGGTAGAGGTCATGTGACATATAAAGGACTCAACAACAGTAAAGTGGGGCTATGCATGCTATACTGTAAAACAGAATACCCAAAGTATGAACAGCACAACTCTGGGTTGTGAAACTGTTTCAGATACAAGGCTGTACTGCAGGGCATATTAGCCTGTTTTCTAGCAGGGCTAGTCTGGCATTTTTCCTTTGTCATCTCCATTGCTCAGCTCCACTTGCCAGCAGCAGGGAGTGAAACTTACAAATCATTTTCACTTTTCTTCCCACTTCTCACACCTGGAAATGGCTCCTTTAAAGATTTTCACCTCTTCACTTGCTTGCTCCTCCCAGAACCCTACCGCACCTTCTGGAGCAGGCAACATGCATGAAAGCGGCTGCCTCCCAGCCTGCTCTGAATCAGGCTGTGAAGCACAGGTGGAAGCTTCACTCTGCACATGAGACTGCTCTGTCTGCCTTTCTCTCACACACACATCCTTGTCCTGAGTAGCAGGGAACCCTCTTCCTTTCTCCCCCACCTGAAGACATCTGATAGGTAGGGAAATGGGGGAATAGCCAAAAGGGGAAGGAGGATGGTCAGTAACTAGCAGGAAAAGGGGAAGGTGGCAAATGGAGTCATCAGGGGATTGGCTATGGCAACTGGGAGGTGAGCAGAGCACCACCACTTTCTCCTCATTTTGACTCCTGCATGTTAGTGCAATGGTGCTGTAAAAAGCTTCCTCACTTACTATGAGAAATGAGAGGCACCTTGGATCTTACTTAATCTCTAAAAACAAAAGGAGAGAAATGCCAGATGTACCAGTGTTTGCAACAGGAAGTGGGTGTAAATGAAGAAATTAAGCTGTGCTGCTTTTGTTTTACTGTCAGGTTTGTGGCAATTTTAAAGTCTTAACTTGATTTGTATGTAATTAACTATGAATATCTTAGCCTAAAATGGAAAGAAAAAAACCAAGCTTCCCAGAGGCAGTTCTATAAAGGACTAAAATAAGCTAAAGGCATCTTCTTCTATGAAAAGAAGTCACTCCCCAGTCCACAGGACTAACAAGACTGAGTCCTCGTGCTTTCCAACAAAAGTGTTCATTTAAAAATGTGTCCATATTATGAAGCACTAACTGGCAGCTGTATTGGAAACTTTTAACAATCTTGCTTCTGAGTTTTACTTCCTATTCTGTATAGTGTCTCAACTTATCACAAGCACCTGATTAAACCTCCTTTAGCAGTTACCAAGTTGAAGAGCAGCTATACAGAGGACTTACCCATCCTTCTTGGCCCTGTGCAGCTACTACACTCATACATTGTCTATGTTCAGTAAGGGTATGTCCACACAGCAAAGAAAAACCCGTGGCTGGCCTGTGCCAGCCAACTCAGGCTCGTGGGCCTGGGGCTGAGGGGCTGTTTCACTGCTGTCTAGACTTCCAGGCTTGGGACCTCCCTCCCTGCAGGGTCCTAAAAGCCAGGCTCCAGTCCAAGCCCAGAAATCTACACAGCAATGAAATAGCCTTGCAGCCTGAGCCATGTGAGTCCGTTGGTATGGACCAGCCATGGGTTTTTCTTTGCTGTGCAGACATACCTTTTGTGTGGAGTACTCAAGCAGCCCACTTACCAATAAGCTTGCCAGCTGTAGTTGTTTCTGAACACAAGTTAAATGTGTTAAAGTAAGCACTGAGCAGTTTAAATAAATTAACATGCAAGTGTTTAAGTTGAACATGCAAGTTCTAGTGATTAATTTTCACATACATTACTAATTTTGTTAGTGCTTGTAAAAATAGTTTATCCGGAGGTGAGACTGAAGCTCCTCATATACCCGAGGGGGTCTCATTACTATTTTCTCTTCTCTTAGGCATTTGCGGATACAACTCATCTTATTGTTACTTAATACTTTACAGTGTCTAGATATATGGTGGGTCCCTGATAATACAAAGGGAAAGACGTGATCTCTGCCCTGAAGAACTCACACTCTTATATAGAACATGACACAGTCAGGGGGAACAATCGACAGAGAAGGGATGGGGTGAAGAAGGGCAAAGGGTGATGGAATACGACTTTGTGGTTACTAACTTTGGGTATGAAGGTACAATTAAGAGTTTATTTTTGTTGCTGATTTTATTATAAATTAATAATATTGTTGACTTGCTTTTGGTGACATCATAGAAGAAGTAAGTCTTAAAAAGAGATTTGAATGATGAGAAGGTAGCAGATTGTAGAGTTTGGGAGGTCATTCCACATGTAGGGAATGGCATAGAAAAAGTCATGGAGGTTTTTGGGGAAGAAGCAAACAAGTGGGACATCGAGGTTGGCATCACTGGATCAGAAAAGGCCAGTTAGTGCATGACACAATAAGAGACCATGACGGATATGTAGACCGGAGTAGAGTTGTGTAGGGCCTTGAAGTGGTGTAGAAAAGGGAGAAAGTGAAGGGATTCAGAATGAGAGGTGTTGTGGTCAGACTAATAGGCAAGGAAGACCATTTTAGCAGTCACGGTTTGGATGGACTGGAGGGGTGGAGGTTTGAGTAGCTGAGATAAAGATAGGAGGTGATGGACAAGAACTTTAGCTACTGGGATTGAGAGGAATAGTCAGAACTTAGACATGTAGTGGAGGAAGATATGGCAAGATTTAGACCTGGATATACGGGACTGGATTCACCATTGTGTTACTTCGGTTATACGCCATTGTGACTCTGTTTAAAACAGTGGTATTGCACCAGCTTAAAACTGGAGTAGCATAGTGATAAATAAAACCTGTAGCTAGTAGGCGAGGGAATCATTAAATATAGTCCTCAAGGTACAGACCTGTGTAACAGGAAGAATGGTCAGGTTGTCTACAGTAACAGAAAAAGAAGAAGGTGGGGAAGTTCAGAAGGAAAACTCCTGTGCAGATGGTGCATTCTAGCTGGACTTGCTGTGATGTTTTGTTTTGTTAACCTTGAATTTGGTCTTAACTTACATTGCAGTAATATTGCCAGCTAAAGTTAAAGGGGCAGAAAATTATAAACTCTCACACTGGCTTGGCAACTCATAGGGTCCTGAGTAAGTGTAAAATTCAGCGCTCCAGAAAAAAAACAAATCCATTGGAATGCTTACTACACATCCAATATATAGATTATACTGTACAGCTAGAGAGCAGCATCTAAATAAACAGCAAAGGCATCAATTAATACATTAATGTACTGGGAAGAATTGAAAGACTGACTAGTAGAAACCATAACCTCCGCTTCACACATTGCATGCTTTTCTTGTGAGCCAGCGGAGCAGCTCCCCTAGCTGTTGCTGGCAGGGACTCATGCCAATATCTCTTCTATGAGCATGCTCATTTCACTTACTTGGGAATTTGTGCTCATGGCTGAGAGCGAGCAGGCGTTTCATCTCTACAAAAATTTTAAAAAGAGATGTTACGTATGCGTTTCTGTTTTAACAGTTATAATGATCACAGAGTCTCTTACTTTTTCATGTAGTGCAGAAAAAGAAGTGAGATGTGAAAGATAAAGCAGGCATCGTAAGAAATAGTTTTTTTCCTTACCTTCCTCATCTACTGTGTAGCTTGATGAAACTCCATCAGTGTCTGTGACAGCACAAGAGTAAATGCCCAAATCATCTTCCCCAAGATCTTTAAAAGCAGCTTTTGACCTTCAGACAAAAACATTTTGATTAAAACCCTGAATCAGAACATCTCCCTTTCCCCTACTAGTGGGTGCTGCATCTGCTGTGGCTCTGGCTGAACAGGAGAGTATGGGGCATAACCAGTGAAAAAGTGGGTATATCCCATGGTGTTTACCATACATGTTGAACCCCCCCCCCCCCAGACTGTGTATCTGGTACATGAAAGATCTGAATAAGTCCAGCTTAGTCCTGCAGGGAAGAGAAATGGGAGCTTGCAGGGTAGAGCATATGAGAGATGGAATAAAGATGCCAGAAAGGGTTCATATTGCTGGGAGTATGGTAAATACAGGCTGGTTCTAGGAAACATCTCTCTGGACTTTGTTTTCATGTGAGATGTCAGGGATGTGTTAGGGATGGCTATAAACAGGGAGGGGAATGTCACATGGTTTCTGGGGTGCTACGATTGGCAGGGCTCATACATCCATTTCTTCTTCCATATATGTTACTTTTGCACCTGTATATTTGCATCTCCTTCCTCCCGAGAAAAAGCCTGGGGAAACAGGTGATCCAGACCATGCTGAAAGTCACCAAATCTGGGATCTGGTGAACAAAAATGTTCCAATATTCACTGAGAATGCCCCACCACCAGCTCCCTCCTGATCAAACCAGAGTGTTGTTTGCTCCAGCACCTCAAAGGAATGCAACGAGTGCAGTATAATATGGGAAAGTTTTTGAAGCAGTCAGGATCAAAACAATTTAGGTTAAATATGTTTAAAAAATACTAAATTGCACCTGCAAATCTGGTAGCCAGTGCAGGTTAGAGAGCAGAAGTGTAGTGTGCTCTTTATCTGAAGCATTGCTTAAACAAGTGGGATGCATCGTTGTGTGTGTGCAATAGTCTGAAGGTGGTCTCCCATGTAGACAGCACTGTAATAATCTAACCTTCCAGTGACAAGGGCATGAATAATCTTGGTGAGGTCCACCTCCAAAGGGATGGATTTCTGTGATTCCCAAGATTTCTAAATATAACAGAGTTGTTATAAGCAAGGTTCCTTACTTTCCGCCTTTGGCGTCAAAGGCTAATCGAGATTCATCCTCAATTGGTTCATAATTCTTGGACCAGACAAACTTAGAATCTGGAGACATCTGGTCACATTCAAAGTTCAGGGAAATGACTCCATTATCATCCACATCTACTTCCATTTCTTTAGTTCCTGGAAGAGCAAAACAAAGCATGTCTACTTTTTAATAGAAAGCAGCATAAATTATTTGCATGCACATCATTCACAGGGTAAATTAAGCAGAGCCCTTTCCTTCCTTCTGCACATACATAAGCTGCTGCAACAGGCTAGTGTCCTTGATCCTTTACCAATGAGAAGAGTCTTTATCTAGGTGCGTAATTCCACTGAAGTAATGAACAAATTAAAAAGGGTACATAGGTCAATGAGATTACTTGCACATAATTAAGGACTATGCATACATGAAGGTTGCAGCATTGGGCCCTGGGCTGAAAGAAGCCTTATCTCAGGCTTAAAAATAAAATTAAATGCACTGGAAAAACTGAACAAGAACAAATGCAAGTCCATTAAAATGCATTAAATGTTGAAAATATTGTAAAAGCAATACCTGCCACAGTAAGGGCTATTCATTGTATTCTTTACATAGGGAAAACTTCTAATTTTCTAGTAAAATACAAGTTCATGCCACGTACACAAGAGTATACTTGGGAAAGGTGGAGGGGTGAATAGGAAATTAAGAATTCATATTAATTTCACAAATGAATCATCACAGTAGCACTCGTGCAACTAATAGTGTTACACACAGCAGCTCATTCACACGTACAGATGTTGGATTAATCAAGTCTGACATATTGCCCTGAAATGGCCTATGGAATGCATCCTGTGCACACCAATAGGGAGTGTATTTGTGATTGGCAGCTAAGTGCAACACCTTGGTTCAAACCAAGAGCTGGTTTTGAATACTGCTTGCTACTTCAGTGCCTGCAAGCTTTGGTAAGGGTAGGACCATCCAGTGTGCACTGGTAGGGCACTGAATGGGGAATAACAAGTCCAGGGCCAGAATATACCTAGGATCTGCCTTTCATGCATACCTGTGCAGCCAAGAGAACTGCATTTTCTGTATGGGTGCAGAGATGGCTCTTCCCCCGTGTCGAATGTGGAGGTAATTTTTATCTAACAACTGGAAGCACTGTTCATTCAAGAGGACTTGAAGAATATCCATTGTTTTTTGCACAGCTCTGAACTGAACTGGACCTTATACTTTAAAAAGGCTTCTGATGTTATAATATTCAGTTTGAGAGTGTCTTGAACTGCCTAAAATGTCAATGACATACTTTTCCTCTAAAATGTTATATCTTAAGAAAAGGACCTCATTCACAAAAAGCCATCAGGATATCCAGAAATTAGTAATAAGTGCTTTATTTCCAGCACATTTCTTGAGTCCTGTTCCCATAATCCTAATACTATACATGGCTTCTCCAATACTGTGAGCAGAAGCACATTCCTTGGTAATAAAGTAGTCTGTGAACATGTAACTGACTGTCTTATTGCTTATAGCTTGCCATAAATGTTTAATAAAAGGAGAGATCAATATTTGTTGCTATACCAGTATTATCATTTATCAGCCCTTTCCGAAATGCAATATGCAGTTCAGAAATACATGTAAAGTACCCATGAATGATAAATAAAGTCTGAGGTCTACATATCTCTTACTGGGCAGTAACATGTTTGTAAATTTACCAGTGTAATCCATTATATGGAAATTCACCATTTGACATGTCATTAGTGTTTGTTTCCATTGCACATTGTTAGCTTATCAATCTTTTGATGACAGTGTAGGTAATATGCAAAAACTCTGCTATAAGAGCAATTCAAAAGGCAATATGCTTGACACTTCATTAGCTTGCATTCACTATATATTACTACTACCACTCAGCATTTATATAAATATAAATAAATTAATGGAGATATCCCATCTCCTAGACCTGGAAGGGACCTTGAAAGGTCATCGAGTCCAGCCCCCTGCCTTCACTAGCAGGACCAAGTACTGATTTTGCCCCAGATCCCTAAGTGGCCCCCTCAAGGATTGAACTCACAACCCTGGGTTTAGCAGGCCAATGCTCAAACCACTGAGCTATCCCTCCCCCTAACTGGCAGTGGTGTTGTTTATACAACTCAGGGTGCATTTTTATAAGTTCATTTTTTTCTCATTTTGCTTTATCTCTACCATATATACTTAAACAGGTCACTAAGAAACTAAAGCATGTTTCTAGATCAGGGATCGGCAACCTTTGGCATGCAGCCCATCAGGGAAATCCGCTGGTGGGGCGGGACAGTTTGTTTACCTGCAGCATCCGCAGGTTCGGCTGATCACAGCTCGCACTGGCCGCAGTTCGCCGCTCCAGGCCAATGGGGGCTGCGGGAAGTGGGCGGGCCGAGGGATATGCTGACCGTTGCTTCCCGCAGCCCCCATTGGCCTTGAATGGCGAACCACGGCCAGTGGAAGCTGCGATCGGCCGAACCTGCAGACGTTGCAGGTAAACGAACTGTCCCGGCCCACTAGCGGATTTCCCTGATGGGCCGCGTGCCAAAGTTTGCCGATCCCTGTTCTAGCAGCTGAGGATTGCCAGAGCACAGCAGCACTCTAGACAGGAGCTCATCTAAAAGCCACTCTTCCAATATGCCCCTGTGTTGGCTCTACATAAGGAGAATCCTCAGCTGAAGACATAGGTGAGGTTTAAGGCCCTGATCCTGCAATCTGATACCTGTGGGTAGACCCTTATGTCTGGGCAGAGTCCTACTATAGTTAATGGTGCTTCATGCAGGTGCAATGGTCCACCCACACAGATGATTTTGCAGAATCGGGACCTAATTCTACTTTGCAGTGAGCAGTATCAGAACTAGGGGCTGGCACAACGGGATTTGAAAAAGGGTTAAAGCATACTCCTCAGAGCCCTGGGATTTTCTGTGGAAAACATACACAATGAAATCACTTTGAAATCAAGACTAAGTTATAGCTAAAGATATAGGTTTGTTTGAGGGTTTGCTGTTTGTTTGGGCCAACTGTTTTATTTAATTTTACCTTTTAAAACATTATAAGGAAAAAGTGTACATAGTTGGCAAATTAGAAACAAAAAAATACAAAATATTTGACCATATTACCCAAACATGCTGGAAATAGGAGATTGCCTCCAGTCCTACTGACAGAAATAATTCTTTCAGTATATTTATTTAAGTTTCTATTCCTCTTGGGTTAGAGATCTTGCTCTCCTGCTGATATTTCTGACTTATTCGCCAAAAGTAACACTGCAATTCTATTTGCAAAATGCAGGAATTCTCCAGAGAGAGACCCATCTGACTAAAATAATATTTTGCATCTATCCAAGATCTTAATAATGCCAACATTAGTTGGGAAACTACCTTTCCAGAAGATTTGAGACCAGTTTTTTAAAATGTCATGATTGTGCCTGAGATTTGCATGGTTTGAGTGAAAGCATTTTTAACCAGATTTTTGCCTTTCTGAGAGATTTGTTTTGTCTTTTCTTAACCCTTCATAAGAAGTGTAGTTTGGCATTGACCATATTTACAGATCTGAGCTAAAAGTATGTGCCAACAACAAAGTCACTACAAGATTAATTGGCCCTGAGCTTCCCGGAGAACTTTGTTGGGCCAAATCTTGACTCTCCTGCTTTGTGGACTTGGAATCCGACCCCAGCTCTGTACCCCCGAGCAATAATGAAATCCTGAGACAAGGGTCCCATATGGGTAACAGCCAGGGTGCAGCTCTGCAGCCTTGCCCCCAGCGTTAAGGGCTGTGGACATTCTCTGCTGAACTTGGCCCTATTACTCTAGACACACACCTTACTGCAGCTATCATAGATCTCAATGGGAATTATGAGGCTACACTGGCGCTGTACAGCGCTGCAACTTGCTGCGCTCAGGGGTGTGAAAACGTCCCCCCCCCCCGAGCACAGCGAGTGCAGCGCTGTAAAGCGCCAGTGTAATCAGAGCCTGCAGCGCTGCATGCTTGCTCGCAGCGCAGCAAGCTACTCCCCTTGGAGAGGCGGAGTACATACAGCGCTGCAAGAGCTCTCTCACAGCGCTGGCGGCGCGACTACACTCACGCTTCACAGTGCTGCCGCGGCAGCGCTGTGAATTCCTGAGTGTAGCCAAGGCTTAAATCTCCTTGCAGGTGGTAAAAAAGTATCCCCAGCTCTGAATGACTGCTTAAATTCTCATTCTGTTGGAACTGAAATTATATGTGAGATTCCTTATTTGATATGTGTGGGGGTTGCTATTGCATGACAAGCTTGTGTTATCAGTCTGAAGGCTAAGCATTAATCCTCAAAGGGAAGCAGAAACTTTGAGGAAAATGTTCATCCAATTCTTATTTCATGAGGTTTTCTGTTTCCATTGTGCATAACCCAATGTCAGAACAATAAGACGCTATGGCTTTCAATGAAACACCCGCAGCAGGACCACGTCAACTGACTTGGGATCACAGAGCTCAGGCTGTGGGGCTCTAAAATTGCAGAATAGACATCAGGCACTAGCGGAGCCTGGGCTCTGGAATCCTCCCCCCCTCATGGGATCCCAAAATCAGGGCTCCAAGTGTGAGTCCAAACATCTACACTGCCATTTTATAGCCTCAGCCCCACAAGCCTGAGTCAGCTGAGACGGGATGTTTTATTGAAGTGTAGACATCCTAAGGGCCCTGTCCTGCTATCATTGGCTACTGGCAAAAGTTGCAATGGCTCAAGGAGCTCCTAGAACTAGACTGCAGCCTTAGATGTGTTCATCTTATATTAAATTATGTATTTTAAGAAGATTTTGGAGGTACATTTTTCATCATAGAATATCAGGGTTGGAAGGGACCTCAGGAGATCATCTAGTCCAACTCCCTGCTCAAAGCTGGACTAATCCCCAACTATATTTTTTGCCCCAGAACCCTAAATGGCCCTTTCAAGGATTGAGCTCACAACCCTGGGTTTAAGCACTCCAATGCTCAAACCACTGAGCTGTCCCTCCCCCCTCTTGCAGCTTGTGTTTACAGCACACAAAAAATATACCTGCATGAACCTCAGCATCTTAGATGTTTTACTTTTGTGTTTGTTTTTATTAGTTTCATGTATTGTGTGTCAGTTCTAACAACAGTACTATCTCTTATGAGTAGGTTAAAAATCTATGGGCCCAACAGCCTCTTCCTATGGAAATACCAATGGAAAGGATCTGGAGGGAGGAAAGCTCTATGAGGCTCATAGAGATTCCTCCATGTTTTTCTGTTTTATTAAGGGCTATGTCCTCTGTGGAAATAACAGGGGTTCAGAGTCCAAAACCACAGATACTCAGATACCTATATGAAACCCATGGATCCACTGGAGTTCTGGGTCCAGCTGTGTGGGGATTCTGTGCCTCCACACTGACTCTTGGGTTCCCTGCTTCTCTCCACACCTTTCTAGCATTGTGGATTCATTGTAGCCATGCTGCAAGTGTTTCTCCAATCAGCAGCTGCCCTGAGCTCTCCATGTAAAGGTAGTCTCCACAGCAAGGAGGGTGTCTGTGTTAACTTGTGAAAGGATTTACTGTTGGTGCCAAGGGAGAAAAAGATCATTCTCCTTGGCCCATTCACAGTCTGTCCCCTCCCCAGGAACTCTCTGTGAGTCAAGGGACAGAAGGGATATGAGCTGCAGTGGCAGCAGCAGCTGATCTCCCTTCTATCTGGGGAAAAGTAAAACCTAAGTGTGGAAGTTACACTCCATGCCCTGATCTAGGGGAACAACTGGACCCTGTATTTATCTGCAATTGCATACAAATATTATTTTACCATATTTGTGTGTTCCAGTATTTGTGTGTATGTATAGTATAGGCATCCAAGTGTATTCAGAAAACTTATTTTATAAAGGAGGTAAAGAGTCTCACTCAGCTGGTATCCTTTATAGGAAAAGGGCTTGGTGCATTGGTAATACATCGAAGGACATATGGGTTCAGTTCCTTTGTGTGTATTCTCTGATTATGAGCATGTCTGATAAATATGAACCTGTATTAATGCAGATGCAAAACAAGAGTGTAAACGAACCTGGTCGTGTTTCTGCTACGACAGGGTCAGTGGTATCAGAAGGTTTCCCGACACCAGCCTGATTTGTTGCTCGCACTCGGAATAGATAGCTGACACCTTCCTTTAGGCCACTGACCTAGAACAAGCAAATAGAGAAGCACAGCACACTACTGAGCACTTCATTTTACTCTTCCATATCTATAATACTAGTTTGGCGGCTTGACAATAATATATCTTCCTCTTTTTCCCCCCTCTTTTTTCACTTGGAAACTTCCACTTTCCTCATGTCCCTCCCATCCAGGCTAACGTGACTTATTTTTGTTTGCTACTTGAGTCTAGCCAGCATTTTTGATGGTGTCATCAATGATGTTAGCACATTTCTGGGAACAGGATGTTTTTAACTCTTGTGCAGTCCATCTGCCTCTGCAGCAGCAGAACAAAAATACTGCAGGTCAATTCTGGCTTTTAAAAAAATTGTAGTCAGAGTCAATAATTCAAACCATAGATATTTAGAATCTGGATGTCATTCTCTATTGGATTATAATGATTTTAACATCCAGTTTGAGGCTATACTACATTCCAATGTCTCTTTAAAAATACACAAGCGAAGATCACATTTTAAAATGAAGTGTTTTTTTTAAATGACCTTTGAAATATACAAATTTCAAATGTATGTATACATTTGTACACTCTTGGAAGAATGTTTAGAATCAAGATACAGTTAATCTTATATTTAGAAATTGCTCCATGAAATTATGTACCATAATAGCCTAGCCATCTAAATTACAAACTCAAAAAAATGAGATGACAGGGTATATTATATTAAAACCAGTCATCCTGTCATATTTTCACAGCACACACCGCAGTGATTTGCCACTTGTGTTCACCTTTGAGTCAGGAAATACAGAGGATACATCTGTATTATAACCTTATTTTAGAAATGCCATTTCACTTTGGTAGTGCGTTCTTTTATTTTTAGACTTACTGGGCTAAATTCTTTTCCAAGTTAAACCCCTATGTGACTCTGCTAGGATTACATGGGTGTAATTGAGGGCACAACATAGCTTGGTAAGTCTAAAACTATAAGGAAGCACTACCAAAATAGAATGGCGTATCTAGAACTGACTTCACAGAAGTTGCACTGGTATAATTGAATTTGGTTCCAAAACTGATTACCTTTAAGAATTTATTTGCAATTGGCTTCTCATTGACACTCCTCCAATGTTCGTCTGTTGCTTCTGTTTCCTTTACATCAACATAGTAACCAGTTACAGGATTACGGCCAATGTAAACTGGTGGTTTCCACAGTAAAACCAAAGAGTCTTTTCTAACTTCAGTGCATAAGAGATCATGGGGTGGTCCTAAAGGATAAAAAAAAAAGTTGGAATCTTGTGCATTAAATAAAGCCACAAGCAGGCCATTGCATAAAACAAATGAAAAATGTACCATCTCAAAAAGACTGTGGGCTAAATTCAGAGTGGGTGTAAGTAGATGCAACTCCATTGTACCTGTGATCTTATACAGTCCTGGCCATGTTCAAAATGAACTAGCTCCCAAAATGATCCTATTTCCTTTTTTTCTAACCTACAATATGTCAATCAAACATAAATGACCAGCCTCATCAAATGATAGGGAGAGAAGTTAATTATTAAACTCATTCATTTGTTGAGAGCCTGATCTAATGCCCATTGACGTCAATGGGAGTCTTTGCATTAACTTCAATGGGTATTGGATCTGGCCCTGAACTGACATGCTTAGGACAGGGCTAAAGGGCCTGTTTCTTCACTGCCTTGCACCTTGTGTAGACATTTACACCAGGCATAGATGTAGTATAGGAACCTAAATAGAAAATAAATAAACAATTAGCTGCAAAGTGGGTATTAAATGCTACCAAATGAGAAGAGCAATGTTTAACACCCACTTTGCACAGGTGTAAATGGCTCTGCAAAGCAATGGAGAGCCTTATGTGCAGAGCAACTTTACTTCCATTAAAGAGTCCTGTGGCAGCTTATAGACTAACAGACGTATTGGAGCATGAGCTTTCGTGGGTGAATACCCACTTCGTCGGATGCATGCAGCCACAGGACTCTTTGCTGTTTTTACAGATCCAGACTAACACGGCTACCCCTCTGATACTTTACTTCCACTGACTTCTATTGGAAGTGAACTGAGAGCACACAGCAGGTGTAGCAGCAAACCCATAGCAGACCTCAGGATGCAGCCTGCTGAGAATAAGAACAGAACCCTGTTCTAGCCAGCAGCCTTCCTCTCTCATTTTGTGTAGAGTGGGGGGTTGGTATGCTCCACTGAATGATGCTGAGCTTTGATGTTTTGTTTAGATTTTTACCTGGAACAGCAATGGTCCATTCTTCACATTTGAAGGATCGAGTAGGTGGGGAGGGTGTGCCGACCCCAGCTAGGTTAGCAGCAGCCACTTGGAATTGGTACACCATGTTTTCCTTCAAATTGTGAATCTGCAGGATTAAGAAAACAATACCCATTAACCTTGCTTTAAAGTTGTAGAAGGAGATTGTACTGATGACTGTCACATATGTAAACTCTAGGATACAAACCCTCTTTATAAAGCCTGTACAATGAACAGGTGAAAGCAATATTCAAAATCAGTTATGTATACTTTCATTTCTTTTCAATCATTTAAGAATGAAAAGGCACTACAAAAGCTACCTTTGTGCACTGACACCTGGGCAATACCTTCTATAAGCAGCCACATCTCAGCAAACTGAGGAAGGTTTGAGACTCTGGGCTTGTCTTCGTGTACAGCACTACAGTGGTGCAGTTGCACTGTTCTAGCTCTTTAGTGAAGACACTACTACACCTGACAGGAGAGCTTCTCACATCTGCATAGTTAATCCACCCCCAGAGGGGGAAGCTATGTCGGGGGAGAAGCTCTCCCATCGACATAGCGATGTCTACACAGGGGGTTAGGTTGGGATGTAGATAACTACATCGCTCAGAGGTATGGATTTTTCACACCTCTCAGTGACATAGTTATACCAATATAGGTCTGTAGTGTAGACCTAGCCTATGAATGTTCTAAATGTGCATAAACTGTAAAAAAACCAACAACGAAAAACTATCTTTACTGTTAGACATTGTGCTAGGTAGGTAGGGAGCAGAGTGTCACCAGCCATGCGTTAATTACATAATTCAGCCTGCTGATGTGGGAGCTGTCCCTGCAGTGAGGTATATGCCGGCACTCATTTGAAAAGCAGCTGTGTGCACCCCTGGCAATTATGTGCTGCAGATGGTAGCATACTTGCAAGCTGGATCAGGATCTAGCCCCAGACCATGACTTCTTTAGGCCACAGCCAGTCAGCACAGGAGTGGCTCAACTCCCTCATACTCTATTAAGTGCTAATGGCCTCATTTTCAAAGATGCTGGGCATGTGTAGCTTCTATTGGTGACATGAGTTCTTAGATACTATGGTGATGGGTGCCAGACTGAAAGATAGTTTGTAGCTCGTTCAATAGATAAGTTTGTAGATTGATGGTACATTCAGGGTACACCTCTACCCCGATATAACGCGACTCAATATAACACGAATTCTGATATAACGCGGTAAAGCAGTGCTCCGGGGGGAGCGGGTCTGCGCACTCCGGCGGAGCAAAGCAAGTTCAATATAACGCGGTTTCACCTATAACTTGGTAAGATTTTTTTTGGCTCCCGAGGACAGCGTTATATCGAGGTAGAGGTGTATGTCTACACTGCCCACGTTACCGTATGGTTGTGGCGTGACGTGGGCAGTGTAGTAACACTTTATCGCCGTGGGAGAGCTCTCCCGGCAATAGAAAACAACAAGGGATGGTAGCTTTATCACCGGGAGCGCTGTCTATACTGGCGCTTTTCAGTGCTAAAATTTTTGTCGCTCAGTGGGGTGTTTTTTCACACCCCTGAATGACTAAACTTTTAGCACTGAAAATGGCAGGGTAGATACAGCCTTACTGAATGCAGATAATTTGTACTCACACATTTAGGGTATGTCTACACTGGTAATTGAATGACAAAACTTTTGTCTTTCACAGGTGTTAACTCCCCTCCCCCGAAAGACAAAAGTTCTGCTTCAACAAGCACTAGTGTGACCAGCGTGTTGTCGTCAGGAGCGCTCTCCTGCCAATAGGGTGACCAGATAGCAAATGTAAAAAAATCAGGACAGGGGGTGGGAGGTAATAGGTGCATATATAGGAAAATCCCCCCAAAATTGGGACTGTCCCTATAAAATCGGGACATCTGGTCACCCTACCTGCCAACAATGCAAATGCCACTCATTGGGGGTGGAAGTTTTTTGTCGGCAGGAGAGCCGACAAACAGTGGCGACATGGCGTGACTTTTAGCGGCATGGCTGTAGTGACACAGCCATGTCGCTAAAAGCTGTGTAGTGTAGACATAGCCATAGGAAAAAGCTTACCCTACTCTACTCCCACCCACAAAGCAGAGGGCAGGGTATGACACTAAACATTTATATACAAACCCTCTGCATCCAAGAAGTGTTAACTGGTGACTCTTATCGTGCTTTAGAAATAAACACTGACAAGAAGCAAAGGACTAGAAGAATAAGTTGTTTTACTTTTCATTCTAATACATACCTGATATAGCATCACAAATCATTGTGAGCAACATATTAACCATCTAGGACATGACACACCTTTTTAAAAGCTGAATACCCTCTATTAAATTGTAGACCGGTTTCTGAGTCACATTTAATAGAGTAATAATACTTTTTCACTTATATAACACCATTCTATCAAGAAACCCAAAATACTTCAAAAAAAGGATAGCATAGCTCTTATTATATCTCTGGCATTAAAGAATGAGCAAACCAAGCAAATATTAGACTAGCATTTGTTTGCTATAGAGTATCTCTGACATAAACATCCCAATCCACTGGAAACAATGAATTAGAAGCTGTTTTTCCTAATCTGTCTTGTTACATATATATTTCTGATGCATGCTCAGCAATATGAAAATTAACCTCTTACCCTGTAGGCCCTCTCACTAACTGGTTTAATGTTGGCCTCGTTCCATTTTCCAGGAACTCCATCAATCACTTCACGATAGTTCACATAGTAGCCAGTGATTTCAGCTCCGCCAATGATTTTGGGCTGTTTCCATCCTAGCACCATTGAGTCACGAACACTTTCAAGTACAGTGATGTCATAAGGTGGAGATGGGGCAGCTGTGTCAACATGAACATCATATGAATAAGCAGTAATCATTCTACTAGTCAAATGAGCATTTGGCTTTCTCATCTTGTACTTCTTTGTCAGGAAAAATTCCATTTGTAGTCAATGGAAATTTTGCTGTTGTAAGGAATGCAGGATGAAGGCCTCCATGAGCCAATAAAAAACTAAGCTACATAAGCATTAGCTATACAGCAGTGTTTGATATTTGAGAAACAAGCTGATACACGGTGAAAGTATGTGTCGCAACTGCAGCTCTCATATAAGTGAACAGGTTTCATTTTCAGTACAGTGAAAGAACAGAAACTAAAACTAACACCATAGCAGACTTGCAAAATTTTGGAGATGCAATGATTTGTTTTCTTTTGCTGAAACCAAACTTTTTCCCACACTCAATTTTTTCTTTAGTTCCTTTTTTACCCCACAGTACCATGATGAGAAAAGAGGTAATGCAACACCACCTATTTCCTCATTTTTGGTCTCTGAATGTTATAATGATATCATTGCACCCTTTGGGTAAACTTACCTTACTGAAGGAAAGCACAGTCATAGCACAGCTGTCTGATCAGAAATGGAAGAGGCTGTTTCTGGAGCTTACTTCAAAAATATCTGGAGCACAATTTTTTTTTAAACCAACATAGAAAGCATGAAACTTCAGTCCTGCAACTGCATCCACTTTCTTACAATATATCCTATATGCATACCGGTGGAATATTTGTACACAGAGTATTTACCACTGATCAGCTGTTGGCAATACTTAGGAACTCCTTGTCTCACTTTGGATGTAGCTCAGATAGAATTTTGAACGACCTCATTTGCTGAATGTTCTTTCAGAATAACTCATCATCCAGTCAGCAAAAACTTTATTTTAATTAGTAAAGGAAACCCGCAGAAAAAACCCTATTGCCTTTGAAATCAAGGATAACTCTATCAATAATTGACTACATTTAAGCAGGAAACTGTTGCTGAAGTGTACTCAACTGTATGTAGGTATACATTTAGACAGGTGCTCAGATACCATGATGGGCATGTATTGCTGGAAGATGTATAAGAAAAGTCTAATTGTGTACATATTACAGTAATTCCCCCTGTTTTCTTATTGTCCTGTTTAACAGACTATATCAGCTGGTGTCAGCAAAGCTCTACTGAAGTAACCGGTTTATACCAGCTGAAGATCTAGCCCAGTGTCCTTAAGTATGGTGGATGCTAAAGTGTCGATTGCATATAACTGCTGTATGTGCACTTACAAACTTGATGGGTTTTCTCCATTAAAGTATTACTGTCAACTAACAAATACAATATATAATATTCACTGGCACTATGCCTTAAAGTATAAGAAGAAGTCTAAGCATAAATCCAGAAAGGAACTCAATATATCTGATAACAGCAGAGGTGTTTCTGCTCACTATGATGTAACAATTAACTCACGAGATTTTGTTTCCTTTGTATATAACCTAAAGTCTGAATATCAAGACTCCTTATAGAGAATGAATTGCTGGCAGGTGTTAAAAATCCCTCTGACTATGCATTACAAGCTTTGTTGCTATCCCCAGAAATACCACCAAAGTGATTTAGAAGTCATGGTATTTTTGGATACATAACTGTAATATATAAAGTAAAGTAAAGCAAGCTATTAAATTAGTAAATGATTTTAAATGTTTTGCTGTCAACAGACACACTGTATGGGAAATGGTCCCCCCATACCATTCCATGCATAATGACCCTTAATGAAAAGCTGAGTATGTAAATGGATCTGATGAAAGATGCATCATTGGTGAGAATGTCCACTGTGACTTGGATGATAAGCGATGAACATTGTCTGAGATGAATGTGCTGAAATGGTGAAATCTGTTTATTAGCTCTCACCTATATCTTTCTTCTCTTTCATTTTCTCCAATGCCAAAGGGTCCCCAGGTTGAGTCTTACTTGCCTGCTTAGCAGCTCCCTTCTGTGGTGAAGGTGTAGGAACATTCTTAACCGTTTCTCTTACTTCACTGACTCCTGTACTCCCCAGCTTATCAGAGCTACTGGGTAGCACGTGTCTGTTAAATTTAGCATTGCATTTTAGCAAAGCATCTGTGTCAAAAATAGGCTGGGAGGACTCATGCATGCCTTCCCAGGAGGTAGTGTAGTCTGTTAGTCCACCAGCTTTACCACTCAGTTCAGGACACACACCATGAAGCAATCCTCCCCCTGCAATTGCCAGAAAATAACAGACATTTTGAATTAAACATCATTCCTTTTTCTTCATTTATTCAACAGAATGAAGAAATGATCACAAAGAACAACATAGGCAGGACATGAACAAACATGATTTTTGCTGACATTACGATATGCTTCGACTCACGAGAAATGTGAAAAGCATATAGTACCTCCCAACCCTCTCACTACAAGTAACTCTTTTTTTAATGGTGTATATTTTACAGCACAGATGTGACAGTCAATAATCTGGAAAGCTAATAGATGTAAAGTGATTGTCACTTGCCACACTTCTTTTAAGATTAGATCCTTTTACCCATATCTATGATCGTTTCAGCTCATCTTTAGAAGTGCCTCTTTCTTCTGCCACACTTGTCTTCTGAGGTTGGGAGGTATGTCAGTTCGATACAAATAGTGTTAGAATGTTGAAAACATACAATTTATTCTGGTTCAGTGAGTTCATTAGTCTCCTTATGTTAGTTCAGGCAAAACAGAAAAAGCTCATCAACAGTATGGAGGATGCACAGGGTTTTAGGAGGTTTACAGAAGAGAACGACAGCATTATTAGTAGGTTCAGGTATGAAAATAAATCAAGCCCTTAGATTTAGGAACTGACTTTATGCAGGATGATGTGTATTAGAGGTGATTTATATCAATATGAAATTAGACTGGCATTCCATTTTCCAGCGTAACTATGACGTGAACTTAACAGCGTTTTCATACAGTGATTCATGAATAACATCTGAGGAAGCCTGGATGGTGAAGATGAACAATCTACAAGTGCGCAGTGACTGAGTGACTGTAAAAGTATGGCTGTGAAGCATTACACATGATATGACCAACAGGGAAATCATTATCTGTGGACAATACTGTAAAACAATATAATTAGTTACAAATAATTGCTGAAAAAAACTTTCTGGAATCATTCAATTTTTTGTTTACTATTGACCATGGCAATGGAACATAGCTTACCAATGGCTGCTTTGACTTCAATAGCCTCTGATTCCTGTGAATATTCACTGAGTCCAGCTGCATTAACAGCTCTGACTCGGAAAATGTAGTTCTCACCAGTGAGGAGTCCATGGCAAATGAATCTAAAGCAAAACAGTAAAGGAACACTTAGAAAACCCTTACCCCGCTGTAGTGAATGGGAGTTTGCCATTGACCTGAGTGAGGCCAGGATTTCACCCCTGTAGTAGCTGTACTGCAGTGAGACAACATACAAAGGAGATTTGGATATCAGCAGGAAGGCTAATATGAAATTTTATCTCAAGGAAGCAAATAGGTTTGTTTCAGTAATAATGTCTGGAAATGACTGTCAACCCGATCTGTATGTGAGCAGTTCTTGCTAATTTAAGGGTTCTGTCTGATAAAAGCAAGGCTTATGGAAGTGTGCAAACAGAGGTGAAATATGGAAAAATAAAATGAGCATGTTGATTTTTGTGAAGAAGTTAATGATTATTGCTCCTTTTAAAAATGAAATATTCATTTAATTGCCATATTAACCCCCTATAAGATTGATCTTGCACAGCCCAAGTATAGCTAGTGGCAGGGATAAGTACAAGTTATAATGTGATGGGCAAGATAAGGAGCACTTCTCAGTAAGCAATCAATTACTTCTGCCTAGTAGCAGGAGAAAGGTCAAAGACCGGAGGGCACAGCTGAGCACCTCATTTGCATAACAAGGATCACACTCCTGTCTCCTGAGACATGCCCATTCTCCAACACCTACCACTTTTTTCCCTGAGCTCATGAGAGTATGGGAGTTGCTGTGTCAGGGGGTAGCTTCCTTCTGCTCAGTGCAGAGGAATACACAGACCTAATTGCACCCACATGTAGCCTCTGCTCACGCTTGTACTTTCCAACGGGTACATCACAAAGACTTGCAAGACCTAGACCTGTCTGCTTCAGTGCCATGCTTATAATGCTAGGTGTAAAGTTATGTGGTTAGTATGAGTTTCTGCTATAATTTGTCTTCAACCATACTTGAAAAATTACAATAACCATGAAACTTACAGTAACTATAGAGAATAAGAGCAGAAAAAAAGATAGCAGAATTTCAACTTCAATTTCTTGCTTCTAAACATCACACAGTAACCTCCTTAACATTTAAATAGGGGAGTCAATAGTGGACAGAAGGTTGATGTACATTTTTGCCCAGGCAACATCTTCATTACACTATCGCATAATAAATAGTAATGGTTGTAAGCGTTTCATGGCAGGGACCATCTTTTACTCGGTGTTTGTAAAGTCCTCAATACAACAAAAGCCCCTCAATGCTGACTGGAACCTAAGCACGCTAGTTATACAAATAAATAATAATTCTCTATCATGGTGGCTAATGATTGTAATGTTAGCAATATTAATCAGTTACTATAATAAGTCATAATAAGCCAGACCTGGCTTTCCATTACAACATAAATATTCAATAACTCCCTTGAATTCAATGGAATTTCTCTGGATTTACAGCAGTGTAAAATTTACTCAGGCAAAATTCCTATTAGGACAAATTTTGGTTTAATTTATGAAGGTGTAAATCTGGAGTAACTTCATTGACTGACAGAATGAATTTAGTATGAATAAAGGATGTAAGTTCTGTATGCAAATAATTAGTACATTTGCAATGTAGCATGGAATTTTCTAATGTGCACATGAGTCTCTTTGATGATGAAAGTGAAATAGCAGTGACAGGAAGGGCAGTTGGAGGGAAAGCAGCCACATTTGCTGGTGTCATATTAGTTATACAGTTCTAGAATTATTTACCATTGCCCTTCAAAATGGAAAGCTTTGCTCCCAAACGCCATGCAATCTAGTTTTCTAAGTTTGCAAGCTCACTCATTCATTATCTTACTATTTTGTACTATTGTACAATAGCTAACCTAATTGTTACTCTTGTTCTTTCCTTGCTTGCTGCCACTTCCCCTTTTTGTTTGTTTGTTACACTTATTTGTTGCCTCTGAATTCAAATTAGCTTGTAAGTTTCTTGGGGTCAGAGACCATGATTTAATATATGTTTGTATAGCACCTAGTGAAATGTGGCCCCAATCTTGATTCAGACCTTAGTTTGCTACCACTATACTAGTTATACTATTATTGTTATAGCCATAAAGTATGTAAAGCAGCAAACAAACTTGCCATGCTTAGGGACCAGCAAACCTGCCTTCCATGTTTTTATGACCACTACCTTGTGCCTTTCACTGGATTGTTATTGCTTGGTTCCCAATGGCCAGATCCAGCTATGCTTGCTTCTACGTAGTACCCAACCAACTCCTTGGCATCTTTAGATTCTGTCCAAGTGACAACCACTGAGGTATCTGTATTCCTGGTTGGTATAATACGGCCTGGGACTTTGGGAATATCTGTGGGGACAAACAAAAATAAATTAGTGACCAATAAGGGTAAAATTTACCAACATCAAAATAAGGATCACATTCTGCTCTTGATTATGAAAGTGTGAATCCAAGCAACTCCAATGACTTCATCTGAGTTTCTATACTCCAAATTTACACTAGTGTAACTCTGAGTAGAATTCAGCCCTCAACTTCTAAAGTAGCCAACGTTACTCTATTATGGCTACTACCTTGGATTTTCCTCCACAAGAAGTCCCTGTATCAACTTTAGAAGTATAAGATTTAGTTTTGGTTTAGATTGCATAATTTGATAAAATAAAAACAATTAGGGCTGGTCAAATTTGGAAATTCTTTTCTGTGAAAATTTTCAAATGAAATAAAACATTTTTTAACCAAAAAAATTGCCCATTTTTTTTATTATTAATTGTGGTGTTTCCAGTTATTTGCATGATTATTTGAAGTCTTTGATGCCCTTGATTAGCATCTGCCACCTCAATATATACTAAAGGATCCACAATTCAAGTCACAATGAACAATGAAATAAAGAACAAATCACTGTCTACCATTCACAGTTGTGTCAATTATGGAGCATCCATGTGTCTGCTTCAAACAAAATAACTACCTGATGCTCTTAAAGGGTAGCCACAGACATGGGATAATATGTCTGACTATACACTTACCAAGTTTGTCACCCACCACAGTAGCTTCAGTTGCTTCTGAGGGCTCACCAATGCCAGCTGAATTACAACAGCGAACACGGAAACGGTAAGATTTCCCTTCAGCCAAGTCAAAAACAGCAAAGCGAGGAGACTTTACAGGGATCTCAGTGTTCACTCTCTGCCAGTTCTCTGTGCCTGCAGTACACTGCATTCAAAACAAGAAAGAGCCATTAGGACAGAGCTATTCAATGCACAGAACTTAGTAGACAATCTAGACTGCCAAGAAGTTCCATCTGACTGCCAACCCCACAGCTATTATGGAAGATGGGGAGCCACATTCTTCTTCTTGACCAGGCCTCAGAATGTGTAAATAGACTTCCCACCTCATGAGTTCTCCAAGTGATCACCTATTTCTAGAGGCTTCCTGTTTTCACTATGTCATAGCTGATACATCCTAGAACCCTTTGTGTGTAGGAAGCACTGCCACTGCTAGGACCAAGTCTGCATCATATCCTGGGATCAGTGCTCCAATCCTTGCTCTGGCTCTAGAATTTTCAGGAGGGGAAAAGAAGCATCTTTCACAGAAAGGTCTCCAGTACCATCAGAGGGGCAAAGCAGTAACATCACCACAGTGCTTCTTGGAGCTCCCTGGCCACTCCAGAGCATCCTTTGAGGGTGGACTGCAGCACAGAATGCACTAGCACTGTGCAGTCCCTGCTCTCTTCTAAATCCAGAGAATGTGATTGTTGGAGGCTGCTGTGAGGGGCTGCAAAGTAGAGGTGGTTCCTTGCACTTTCTCCCTTTCCTTATGTACTAGGTCATGATCAGCCACAATCTGGCCTTGATTTTTCAGGGGAGGAGGGTGGGGGGAAAGCAAGTGCATTGAATTTGTGGCTGATGCTTGTTCCAGGAGGAAAGAAGTATTGCATATGATGAACGCTTCTGCTACCAATATTATTGAGAAAATAAAGAATATGTTCATTCCATGTGGGTCACCTAAATGGTCCTCAATTTGTTTGAGGAATTTCAAATATTCCTCAGGAAAACGTTAGTAGCACACATCACATCTGCGGCCTGTCACCCAGCATTCAATGGGCCAGCAAAACACTTTCTTGTGCAGACACTTAAAAGGGCATGAAGGTAAAAAATGGAGAGAGAACCCTGCCACGCTATGTTGCAGATTTTCTTCTGTCATGTATACCACAGTCCGCTGTACAGAAAATTCATCATTCTTTAAATGTACTTTGCTAATTAGATTTGATTTACCAGATTCACAAAGTAGTGAACCCACAAAGTATGTCTCTCATGATTTTACACCTAGACCAGTAGGGAACAAAGAGGGAAAAAACAAGCATTGTCAGGAGGATTTGGGGGAGTAGTAACAGACCCGAAAGAGCTAAAAGGGGAGAAAATTAAGAATTACATTGGCCAGCAGGTACAACATAAAGATTCAGAAAAGAGAGGGCACTAAAATTAAGACAGATGATTGTGTATGACTGGAAAAGAAATGTGTTGTGCTTGTTATCAGCCAATGAAAATGTTACTATAGAGGATGAATGTGAGAATACAGATGAAGGAGGAAAAGAAGAGTTGAAGCCAAATGGCTCTCTGGAGGAACATCTCCAGCCACAGTGTGAACCCAGACCTCCCACAAGACTAGCCTTATTTACACAGGTGAGGTATCTGTAGGATTCTGCTTTCCCTGTACTGCACCCTTATGTAGAAAGTCCATCTGCCTATCTGCTAGGAGGTGGGCCCATGATGTAGTTCAAGTGAGAGGCACACTCTGCTTTCACTTTCGTGGATATTTTATCTTTGTTCTTTTTTTCCTCTGTGGTTTTCCTTAATCAACAGTAAAAGTCATCTAGACTGAGTGCACATGTTATGCTCTTTGAATATGGAAAAGACAATAGTCCGAAGGTCTCAGTATAAAGGGTACAGTAGCTTGGGAAGATTAGACAAGAGGGCAGAGCAAACTTTTAAGAAGATGACACTTCACTTTACTTTGATGCCGCAATTTTACCTTTTCCACAAAGTACATGACACCCTCATGACCCCGTTCTCCAGGGGGTTTCCAGCTGAGCACAACATAGTTCTTGGTGGCTTCAATAACATGGAGATCTGATGGCGGGCCGGGAACAACACCCTCTGTAGAACCGGACAGAAGAGAAGGAAGTTTAGGTTTGAATCAGGTAGCTATGTTAGCCGACTCCCTAGCCCTGCCCCAGGTGCTCCTGAGAAAACATCTATAGACTTATTTCTGTCAGGTCGGATAATTTCAAAGCTGAGTGATTTTAAAATTCCTCAAAATGTGCACTGACTTATTTGAATTTCTGAATCATTATCCTGATGAAAGCATAAATCAAGTATCTCATGCGGACCTCACTGTTTTGAAGTGTGATTACTTTAAAAAATAGCAGAGTTAAAAATATCTAAATACTGTTTCTGAATTTGCATAAATTGTTTTCATGTTTATTTATTTGGACCTGAATAACATAAACCATGACAGCTAACCTCAGAGGTATTTTAGGCTACAGAGATTTTAACTGTAAAGGACTTTGGGTCTGATCCAAAGCCCATTGAAGTCAGTGGGAGTCTTTCCATCGACTTCAATCAGCGCCATGTCAGACCTTTTTAAGAGAAGGTACGTGTTTACCTGCAGGTTCTTCCTCAGTGACAATAATCTGTCCTGTCCAGGGAGCAGAAGGGTGACCTGAAATAGAGAGTAGAGTTATCATGAGAGTGAGACAGATCAGAAACTGTTTTGAAAATAATGAAAAAGTAACTCATTTACTATTCAAAGCAAATGGTTGGAATGACATGAGATTTATGTAATCTCCATCTAAGATACTGAATGTTCTGGACAAAAGTTTTAAAAAATGATTTTAGAGTTATTATTCAAATGTCAGTTTAAAAACAACAACAACAACAAAAACTACACACACAGTATTTAAGAAATCCTGGACACATTTGGTAGTGCACTGCAGCCCATTAGCAGCACTGTAAGCCTCCTTTATTTATACCAAGAAGGGTTTCAATAATGAAAATGGACTACATTAACAGAAGGCCAGATTGAAAGCTTGAGTCCATTATCCAGCAGATGGACTGGCTGAAGACATTTTATTCTAAGTGGCAGAAATCCTGCAATGGTTATTAGATTGACCCAGGAACTGGGAAAGCCTCCCAGATTTTCTCACTGCCAGTCCAGTGCATTGTTCTGCCTGTTAGACTATTAACCTGTTCAATGCACTTTCACCTTGGAGTAGCGGATCTCCTCACAGATGAAAGTCAGATCTGCTGAGTTACTTTTCTGAATTGCTGCAGGGCCATGAAAGGTAGAAGGGAGGGAAGAAAAGAAGGGGATTGAAGAGAAGATCATCCAGGAGTAAGATAGACTAAGCAAGGGGCAGCATGGAGGTAAGGAAGGGGAGAGATAACAAGGAGGATGGAAGTATGCTATGTAGATCAGGCTTCCTTCTCATGGACAAGCTCCCCTCACTCATTCCAAGTCTTGCCTTTCCACTCTCCACAACAAGAAAACAATAGAACAATGCCTCCCAAGTCCCAGGTTGCTCTGAGCAAGGTGGCGATTAACTTTCCTGGGCCTTTACAGCCTGAGCCTTTCTCTAACATTTCCTTTTTTTTTCATTTCAAGTGGGGTATTTTGGTTATCTGACTACAGCGCTGGCTGGCGATCCCTGTGGCATCACTCCTGTGGCTCTGCATGCCATTTGAACAACTCAGGACAGGGTTCAGTACAGTATTTCCCTCACCCTGACTTGTTTTAATGACAAAAACTTCAGAATAGAATGGGAAGACCTGGACTTTAGGCTTGTGTTTCGGCATGGGATGGATACTTGGAAGTAAAAATAAACATTTAAATAAAAATCTACCATCAGCGCTTGGAAGGCCTTTTTGTCATTGAAAGAGCAAAACTGGCAGTCCACAGGATAAGGAGTGTGACTCACAAAACATTAACTTTCAGGATAAAGAGTTTGAGCTTGATTCTCCACTGGCCTACTCCAGTTTTATGCAGGTGTTACTCCATGGCTTTGATAGAATTAGGCTCCCTTACCTGCTACACAGCAAGGGACTATTCATGGAATCTGCTAATAAAACAAAAGCAGCACTTTCCAGGAAACTGCTCTGCTCCTTTTTTTCAATTTCCTGTAAGTACACAGCTTTGTATTTCAGATAACAAAAGACAAGCTTTGATGAGAAGATTCAGCCTTCAAGTTTGGGGGTTTTTCTTGGCAAATCCAAGTTTACAAAAGATGATATTTTGTTTTTGCATTGCTCCCTCTTGTGGAAACTTTGAGGTCTTACAAAACAAATGTGCATAGATTCTTGCAGGAGTCAAATTTCTTAAGCCTCTTAGAGCAGTGGCTCTCAACCTTTCCAGACTAATGTACCCTTTTTAGGAATCTGATTTGTCTTGTGTACCCCACGTTTCACCTCACTTAAAAACTACTTGGTTACAAAATCAGATATAAAAATTTGAAAGTGTCACAATGCACTATTACTGAGAAATTGCTTACTTTCTCATTTGGAATATAAATATTGTACTTGCATTTCAATGTATAGTATATAGAGCAATATAAACAAGTAGTTGTCTATATGAAATTTTAGTTTGTATTGACTTCGCTAGTGCTTTTTATGTAGCCTGTTGTAAAACTAGGCAGATATCTAGATGAGTTGTACCCCATAGAAGACCTCTGCATACCCCCAGCGGTATGCGTACCCCTAGTTGAGAACAACTGTCTTAGGGAATATATTGAAAAACTCTTACTTCTAAGCCTAGCTCTGTCAGCAGGATCCAGAGCCGCCACAGGCTCAGAAACCCGTGATGGTATGCTTATTCCAGCTTTATTCACCGCCCGGACTCGGAATATATAGGAGCGACCTTCTATCAAACCCGTGACAGGGAAACGAGCAAACTTCACCGGAGTCTCATTGCATTGGGACCAGTGAGTGGTGCCAACCTCACATCTGAAAAAACAAACATTTCAAGTAGTACTGAAGATGGAAAGAGAAAGAGAACTCCGAGCATACACCCCTAATACTCCAAACAGCTGTTCATGTACATTGTTGATCCTACCAGCCTGCCTAACAGCTTCACATATTGCCAACATAAAAACAGCCTCACAAAACGCTAAGGGTTCAAATACCTTATGTGAATGCTGGCACTAAATCCTCTGCAGCTGCATTGCTTCTTTCCTGAGGTAGTGAAAAAGAAACTTAACACTATTCACTGATTGAATGCTTTAAAGTGTGCCTCAGGATGTTCAATGAGAGTTTCAAATTCATCATGGGAAATGAAACACACAACTCCCCTTCCTGTTTATAGGAAATGAACTCCTCTGCCTTTGCACTGAAAATTTACATCCTCTGCTGAACATCCAGCAAATATAATTGGCTTCATGGGACATAAAAACATATGCTGTGTGTTCTGTGACAAGGTGGATAGACCCCACACAGCCCCTAGATGGGATAGGGTAAAAAAACCCTCTAGCATATAGTCAGACATGATAGCACATTGAATGCTGCCAGGATTATCAAGGGAGGCAGTGACTGCAAGCAGTGCATCAGCAAGGCTTGGTTGTCCAGCAGTAGTTCCATGGCAAAATGCTGGTGAGCCTACCAGGCAGCAATAACCTGAGTCTCTGGGGAAGAGAAATGTAACTCGCAGCAGGGAAGGTGTTCAGGAGAGGCTGAGGTTTTTAGGAGACCAGGCTGGTGGTCTAATTAATTTGTTTCTTCCTATGCACATTAAAGCTAAAAGAAACTCTGCACTTCTCTCATGCTTGAACTATGGGCTGAAGGAAGCTCTTTTTCTTTGTGGGGAATCAGTTATGGAAAAGCCAATTTATCTTATTAGAAACCCAGCACTGCAGGTTCATTTTGTCTTATGTGTCACTGCTCTAGCCAGCCCATCTGCACTCATGATATATAACAAGACAAAGATCTATCTTCAATGGCCTCCCAGTTTCTAGGAACATGATAAATAAGAAGATAAACTAGCAGCTCCATTAACATTTTTGTTGCTTCTGAAATAACTGCTTGGGTAACTATTACTCTGCCTAAATAGTTCTCTGAACCCATAAGAAAGCCTTTGCTTTTTGACAGGTATTATTGTTTGTATTACAGTAGCACCCAAAGGTCCCAATCAGGATTGCAACATGATAGTCTTGTGGCCAAGGTGTTGGGCTGGGACTCAGGAAATGTGGGTTTAATTCCTGTCTCTACTACAGCCTCTGTAATCTTGGGCAAGTCACTTGGGGGCTAGGCACCAAGTGGCCTTATCAAAAGTCAGCATCTTTAGGCACTTAAATACCTTTGAAAATTTGCCCCCTGGTGCTTCTGTTCCCTACCTGTAAAACAGGGACAATCTAGCTACCTTAGGTATTTAATTGTAGCACATCCTGTAGTAGCTGAGCACCTCACACTCTTTAATGTATTTATCATCAGAACACTCCCTGAAGAAAGGAAGTACAATCATCCCCCTTTTACAGCTAAGGCAGAGGGAGAGTGACTTGCCCAAGGTCACGTAGGAAGTCTAGGGTGGCGCAGGGACTTGAACCAGTCTCTCCTGAGTCCCAAGTCGCCTAATCACTGGACCCTTTTCCACCCTTTATCTGTCTTGCGCATCTTAGATTGTAGGTTCTTTGGCAGCAGTGACTGTCTCTTGTTATATGTTCATATAGCGAATGGGGCCCTGAACTTGTTGGTGCCTGTAGGTACTATTATAATATAAAGAATTAAAACCAAATGTGCTCAGCACTGCACAAACAAAGAGAGAGAGAGTCCCTACCCCAAATTGTTCACAGTCTAATTTATGACACGATGTAACAAATGAGTGTAGAAATGAGGGTGAAGGTAACAATAATGGGAACAGGTGGTTACATACACAATAAGCAGGTTTTGAGTCAATTTATTAAAATGATATAAACAAACAAAAGAAGTAGTGATCTCAGTAAGCCCTACTGACCACATGCCTGGCCATTATCTGTTGACAATTTACTATAGGCACCAAGGCAGAAATAAGTCTTGAGGAGGGGTTTAAGAATAGTGATGAATATTTGCATTTGTAAGATCTAAACAAAGTACAGAGCTAAAAGTAGATTATTAACATCTTCTATGGATTGACAAGCAAGAGGGTAATAAGAGACATCCTGTGGCTGAGCTAGCAGTTACCTGAATTATTGACTAACATTGTTTGATATTAGTTCAGTTTCAAAATTAATTATTTTTCAGTGTCTTGTTCTGTTGTTTTTTAATTCCTGGGGGGGAGGGGAGGATGGAATTTAGACCAAGCTCATATCAGTTAGGACGCTACGGGAAACTGGAAAATGATCAAACAAAAGAAAACGTGCTTGAATTGAACACTGATATACTTAGACCTGCCCCACGGTCTAGGTCTCTCATTATAAATGCTTATACACACTTCTGAATAAGCAGCATTCTATCACTGATTAGCATTGCCAACTCTCATGATTTTATCAGGAGTCTTACAATATTTGGTGTATTCCATAAAGCCCCAGCTCCTGGAATCCTGTGATTAGATGTCAGAATAACTGTGTGGCTGGCTGAGGCAGAAGTAGACACAGGTTCAAGCAGGGACTGGCTAGTATGGAAACAGGGATGAGCTAGAGCAGGAGCACAGGCAAGCTGTCAGAACTACTAAGCAATGAGAATGCTCCTAGCCAAGTAATAATGTTGAACAGAGTGGAGAGACTGCTATGCTTAGGCGCTTATGTACCTGCTTTGGGATCACATGGGTGGGTCCTCACCTGTGGATTGGCTGAACCCTGGTTGAATGGCACAGGCCCTATCACAAGACCTGCAGCAAATTCCCTCTGATGACTCATCACACTCTCTGGCTCAGGGATGACTTATCAGGTTTAAACAGGCTCAGGGGTAACTCAGAGATGACTCATCACATTATGTGAGCATCTCAGCTCTCATTTCTTTTAAAAGTAATTGTCAGAGAAAAGCTTGGCAATATGATTTGAGTGAGCCCCAAAGGTTCAGAAACCAAAAGGCAAATATAAAGAACTCAGCATATATTATTTGATAGCCAATATCATGATTTTTTGGTGCCTGACATGATTTTTGAATATTTGGGGTTGGCAATACTGCAGAAGGAATCTCAGGCTGACTCATTAAGGGCCTGATTCTGCACATTACCGAGCACTGTCTGCATGATACTGAGGACTCGAATCCCACTGAAGTCAAAGGGAGTACAGGGTAAGGAGCAACTCACAAGATTATTTCCTAAATAATTAAGGGCCCAATCCAACTCCCACTAAACTTATTGGAAATAAAATTAGGCCCTAGGAGTCTGAATCTGAAATAGAAAAGCAGTATTTTTAGCTATCAAGAAGAGCTACAAATGACAATATCACATTTTATGTCACTAAATTATTATTAGGCTGTTGAATAACAGTGATCAGCAATACAGTAGTAGGTACAGTTTGACATAAATACTGACTTATCAATAAAGTATCCAAGGACGGGGCTTCCTCCATCAACAGCAGGTTGTTTCCAGGAGATGATGACATAATCCTTGTTAGCATCCAAGCACTCCACATCCAGTGGTGAAGCCGGGGCTCCTGGCATTTCAGCATCTGCATCTATGAAGATGGAGATTTACATTTTTAAATCTGAGTCACAGTTTTTTCCAGGTTACTCTTTAAGGGCCAAACTCTGTTCCCATTGAAACCAATGAAAGTTTTACCACTCACTTCAATGGGACCAGGATTGGGTCCTACATCTTCCTTATTATTATAGATTTCTTTTTCTGTTATCAATATTTATTAACACCCAGTATGTTGCAGCATATTGTAATCATTGATCGAGGCCCTCTAAAACAAACCAAATCAGGAATCTTGCTTCTTGATTAAGATACTGCCATACTTCAAGTAAAATCTCTTGGGTGATTAAATGTCATCCTGCTGCTTTATTGACGTAAAATATCAAACTCTATTCTCTTAGCACTGGACAGTAGCTCAGGCAATGTTGTTTGGATCTAGAGTGTTGTAGTTTTCAAGGACAAAGAGTGATACGGTACACTTTTGTGAGCTCACTGACATGTTTCATGATGAAATTACAAGTTGACAAAATGTTATTAGGTCTCAGACATCTTCCCCAACCCTCAACCCCAGCTACAGTTGGATAGACAGAGTGTCCCCCTTAAAAGGTATGGTTTTAACCAGGCCGCCCCTGAAAACAATCATCTTCATGAAATGATTGTTTGCTAGACTCCTGAACTTGGCGGGTGGGGGAGAGGATGTATTTTTTAAGGAGATACAACTCCATTTTAGATGGATGAACTGTGGTGGGTGATCTGGGAAGGATAACAGAAACATTGATGGATTCCATAAGAAGGTTGGATAAAATAAATAACCAGAAACCAATCCCAAACTCAGTCCAAGCCATTCTTTGACATTTGAAAAATTTTGAATATATTTTTCATTCAAAAAGTGAATATAAATGGAAATTTTTTATTTCCTTTCTCATTTTCAACCCCCCCTCCACACTCCCTTCATTGCTTGTTCTGGCTGGGCTTGGAAGAAAAGCTATTCTTGTAGGATATTCACTCCACTAGGAGGCAGGAATCAATGGGGCTGGCACAAGAAAACTTATTCTCTTGAGCTTTCCAGCCCAATTTTTTCAGACTGAAGGCAGGGCCAGATAAACCTTTGGTGGGCCCAGTGTCAAACATATTTGTGGGCCCCCATGGCAGCAATGAGGCATGGCGCAGGGAGACGGGAGGGGTCAGTCCCCGGAGTGAAGGGCCGGTTGGGGACAACTGGGCCCAGCCCAGCACAAGGACACCATTTACAAACTGGCAGCCACCAGACTCACACTGGCCCGCCCGGCCCTGTGCTGCCAGTGCGCCCCTTCCCCTCGGGGGCGGGCTGGTGCCACATACCACACCGCCTCCCAACCCAGTGCCTCCCTACCCCCTATGCCCAGTGCCCCCTACCCAAAGACCCCTCCAATAAGCCCCTATGTCCAGTGCCCCCTGCCCAGAGACCCCTCCCCACAGACCCCCCACCACAACTGCACAGCGCCTTGCAAACCACCACCACCCCGCCCAGCGTCCCCCCATCCACAGACCCCCCAGTACTCACCCACAGCCCCACCACCACAACTGCGCAGCACTCCACATAGACTCCCCCACAACCCAGTGTCACAACACACACAGACCTCCCCCACCTCCCACTGCCCAGCACCCCTCCACAAGCCCCCCTATGCCCAGCATCCCAATACATACAAACCTTCCCCACTGCCCACGCCCCCCCACATACTCCCCACTGCCAAGTGTCCCAAAAGACACAAACCTCCTGCACCCAGCCACTGCCCAGTGCTCCTGCCCCCTCACTGCCCAGCACCCTGCCACAGGCCCCCAGAGACCCACTCCCCTGTGCCCTGCCCTCTGGCCACACTCACCAGCCCTGCTGGGAGGTGACCGTGTCTGCTGGGCTGAATCAGCAGTGCAGCCGGGGCCAGTCCCAGGTCAGGGATCGTTCCAGTCCCTCAGAAGCGGCACGATCAGCCAGGCCGGAACAGGAGTGGGGCCTGTCCAGGCCAGGCTCCCTCAGGACCCACTTGCCTGGCAGAGCCCAGCCAAGCCCCCCGCACTACTCCCCCCACTGGCAGAGACTGGCCCAGCCTCTGCATTGGTCCCAGGCGGTTCGGCCCCTGGAGAGGCGGGCAGTGCCCCACAGGTGATGGATAGCAGAGACCTCTCGGAGCCGGAGCCGCACTGGGGAGCCGCTCAGACAGCAAGACCTGGGCTAGACTGCCCTGGGCAAGGGGCCAGACCCAGCCAGGTGGATGGGTTAGACAGGTCTCTAATGGGTCCCTTCCCAGTGTGGACCTGGCACCCCAGTGCCTTTGATGCCATTGTAAACCCGGAACTAACTGAAGGGGTTTGATTCTGGTCTCACTTCCATTAGTGTGAATCAGGAGTAAATACACTGAAGTCAACAGTACAAATCCAGAATAAATTGGAGGACATTTAGGCACAAGGAATTCAGATAAGCAAGGATGCTTATCAAGAAAGACCCTTTGAGGTCTATCTATTACTACTTTAGACAGACTCATTTTGGAAAATAAACTGAAGAAGGGTATATATGTACTTCCTGTCAAATGTTTGTTACAAGTCTGGGCCTATGTGTCAGAGGAGCCCTGATTTTGATACTGTGGAGTCTGTTTTTAGGCAAACCTTATCTAAAACTTTAAATGCCGAAGTGCAGTGCTAGATATAGGGAGCTGAAAATGTTTATGCAACTGTATCCTCATTTGTGGGACATGACTTGTTTGTGTAGCTGTATGTTTATTAGCATATTTGTGAGGAAAATAAACATTTTGTAACCTTTCCAAGAAGTTTGTGTGACAGGTTTTCATAGAAGAGGCATTGTTTCTTTCTCGATCAACATCAGTTTGTCCAATTACTCCTGGCATTTTCCCAGTCCTGTTGTGTGCTACTTCACAGGACAGGGGGATGGGTTAGGGCTAGACAGAAAGGAGCCTCACACTTGAAGGAAAACAGTACATCTCTGCTAAGTAAACATTTTTTAAACTCTATCTAAAATCAAAAGTTTTAAAACTGCTGGATCCCAGGGTATTATAGCATTTTATATTATTTATTATAATGATCTTATTTACAATAAGTTTCCAACCCTTATTCTTTCTAGCTCCAAAATAACAACATGAAAAGATTATTCAGCACGCTAAATTAAAGCTTTGGAAAAGACCATATTACACTGTTTTTCCTTGCAGGTATTGCAGTGTAATTTGGGAGGTTTTGGAGCTATGCTATGTCAATGTTACCGAGCCTGACTTCTATATAATTTTTTTCCTGTTCTATCATAGCATTGGTGTTATCTTTAAAAACTACTATTTACACAATACATAATCCATTAAATATAACTCAATAATAAACATTATTAATAGCAATAATAGTAAATCTTCAATGTACGTCTAGTGGTCAACATTTAAAAGCCTTTAATTGCCAATATTTACACATAGGGCCCTGTCAAATTCACAGCCATGAAATACATGTCACAGACCATGAAATCTGGTCTCCCCGTGAAATCTGGACTTTTGTGTACTTTTACCCTACCGTTCAGCGCTGGACAGCTGGAGAGCAGCAGCTGCTGGCCAGGAGCCGAGCTCTGAAGGCAGCACGACCACCAGCAGCAGTGCAGAAATAAGGATGGCAATACTGCTGCCACCATACCATGCCACCCTTACCTCTGTGCTGCTGCTGGTGGGGGCGCAGCCTTCAGAGCTAGGCGCCCGGCCAGCAGCCACCACTCTCTGACACCGAGCTCTGAAGGCAGCGCAGAAGAAAGGGTGGCAATACCACTACTCCCCTACAATAGCTTTCCACCCCCCTTTTTGGTCAGGACCCCCAGTTTGAGAAACAACGGAGTCTTAAGGGCTTTATATTTTGCTGTTTTAAAAATATTCCTGGTTGTTACAACACTGTGAAATTTAAGATTTAAATATCTGAAACCATGAAATTCAAGATTTTTAAAATGCTATGACTATGAAATTTTCAAAAATGGACCTTGAATTTGGTAGGGCCCTACACATAGTGGTATCTGAGTACCACACTTCCTCTCCAATAGTTAGATTAGGAAATAACTGTGGTAAAACTCCCATTGATTTCAATGGGGCCAGGATTTCACCCCTACTGCCTGCTAGCAAATGCTGACTTGTTAATGGTGACCACTGTACAGTAGTACAGAAGGCTCACAAAACACTTCAGAAACTTTACTAATGCACTTACAATAGGGACCTGATCCTGCGCAGTGCTCTGCACCTCACAAGTTGGGGGCCTATAGATGGGAATTTCTATAAGGGCAACCACTTCAGAGTAAATATGGCAGCTGATGAACTGTATGTAGCATCATTACACAACAGTTTAGGACAGGAAGTGAACTCTGTATTATCCAATTGAAACTGTAGGGGGAATTTAAATAAGCAAGACTGTAATTCACCTAATTTGAATTTGCCAGGATACCAAAGCTACATCCATACTCTTGCAAAAAGTGCTATGTGGCCTTTAATGGTAACAATTGGCTAAGACCTCAATTCTCTGTCTCATGCAAGAGATGAAATACTAACAAAAATGATAATTTATGTATATACCAACACAGCTTTTGATATGTCTGTTTTCCCATCTTTCTATTTTGTTGTGAGGTCACAAACAAACATTTTGATGGGTTCTTTCTACAATTTGTGAGCATGACTGCTTTAGTCATGATCTCCAAGCAGGCTGTAATCTGCATATCACCGGATTCTGCTATATTTGGCAAAGTGGCGCCATTCTGGGCACGTTCACAGAGCCAAGAATTTCAAGAGCCTTTAGGATTAGCATTACACACTTCAGCTGCCTTCAGCAGCTGAGACAGATATAGAATCAGTGCATGGACCAGTGAAATTTGATAATCAAGGCTCTTTTTAAAGGGACATTCCCTCTAAGGAAAATGTAGGAAGTTTATCAATGTACAAGAGTATAAACCAAGATAGACAGAAAACTAATCTTTTAGTGGGTTCTGAATTTTAAATAACTTCTACTCTTTACTTGCCTCATAAACTTCCTAATGTACTTTAACTTATTACACACTGTGTTAAAGAGAGTCAAATAGTTATTGCACAGCATCTTGGTCAAAACAATGGGCTGTAGTTAGCAACAAATGGGCAAAATAATACATTCATAATCTGTTACATGGGTTTCTTCTCTTTATCATTAGTGCTCATCACTGTCCACAAGCTACTATAGCCAAAGAGTTGTATAACTGCACCAATACAGTGAATTTCTTCATCTGAATAATGGTGCTATCAGTAGGCTCCAAAGACCCTCAAACACATGGCGGTGCCACCCAGGTATGAGGTATCTTATCAAGTTTTCCACATGACAATAATGGGAAATTATAATGCTAAACAACTGACATTTCTTCAACGTCACGGCTATTTTGTTCATCTTGATTAACAAGCTCTTTAAAAGCATCTCACAGTTTTCAATAGTTACAATGTTTTCATTTGAAAAAAAGGTGAAATTAATGGGATTGATTTCTCTTCACTTTGTTTAGTTATCCTGCTTTCTTCATAGGGTAACATCACCAGATCTTACCTCGAACAAAGACATAACCACTGTACTGTTCATAGTAGTCCCCCATGACCACACGAAGAGTGTAAAGACCTTCATCCTCCTTGTTAGCATGAGCAAGGGTTAACGTAGCCCGCTCCCCACTCCAATGCATCTGGACCCACTTGGATGGTGTAATAAGAACACCTAGAAATTAGAGAGTTCTGTAATGAGAGATGTCTGAATTGAATCTATTCCTAAATACAATGAAACCTGTACAAGAGATCATCCGTATTAGACAACTTCCTGTCCTAAAAGAGAATCACAAAAGTATCCCTAATTCTTCTCTCAGACCTATTTTACACTGACTTCAGTGATCTAACTCCGTTAAGCAACTGATTTTTCTCAGTCTCTGGAGTGATCAGTTAAGAGAGGTTTCAACATATCAATGAATAACAAAAGTCACAAGCACTGAATGGCTATATAAATACTAAAGCTGGTTGAAATGTTTCAGATTTAAAAATATTGAAAAGAAATGGGAAAAATTCAGATAGTTTCCCAAATTTTTCCTCTCATTTTTGACCAACTGTAAAGCTAATTGAAATTTTTTGCATTTCAAAATTTTGCCATTTTTTTAATTTAAAAAAAAGGGAAAATTTTGAAAAAAAGTCATTAACATTTCCCTCTTGTTTTTATACCATATCTTACAGCTATAATATACCCTTATATTTCCTCTTTTCATTCTTCATTTGGATATGAAAGGGAATGAAGCTCTGTGTCAGACAAGTTTAAAATTCATCTTGTAATATGTGCTTACCATTCCTGTACCACTGGATCTCTGGGTGGAAGCGCTTAATGTCGGGATGAATGATAACTGTACAACCCAGACTCATTGTCTCTCCTTCTCTCCCAAAGGTTACCTCAAACTTGTCAACAAAGTGGATTTCAAACTTGGAAGCATAGCCATGGGGGGTAACACCAACTGTTAAAGAAAATTGTCTGATTATTTAATTTTTTATCTTTTTGTAGTGATAAATGACGAAAACCAGCAAAAACTACTGTATATAAATGGAACCTTCTATATTTTTATAGCAGATGCCTCACATTATTACTATATTTCACAATAATAAATAATAAAAACACCCAAAACCCCCCTTCTCTCAAATCTTCCAAATCTTCGGGGGGAGGGATAGCTCAGTGGTTTGAGCATTGGCCTGCTAAACCTAGGCTTGTGAGTTCAATCCTTGCGGGGCAAAAATCTGTTTGGGGATTGGTCCTGCTTTGAGCAGGGAGTTGGACTAGATGACCTCCTGAGGTCCCTTCCAACCCTGATATTCTATGATTCTATGAAATACAGAGCTCCCAGCGCCTTGCAGAAGCAGGTCCAATATACTTTATTTAAATGAGCAGTATTGCTACAACTCCTCAAATTTCAATGTACTTATGTAAAACTTGAAAGTAATTATAAATGTAAGGCCAGATCCTCAGCTGGTGTAAATCAGCATATCCCCATTGGTTTTGGTAGAGCTACTTCAATACCAGCTGAGGATCTGCCCCACTGATTACTTATACCTAGAAGACTTAACTTCAGGTTCTGTCGATTTGATCTCTATTACTCGTCCTCATGAAATCATAGAAGTTAGAGATGAACAAGAGCTATCAAGTCATCCAGTCCCTCCCATGAAGCCAATGCAAGACTGTCCTCTAATGTTTTATCCAGTCTAGTCTTACAGGTTTCAAGGGATGAGGCTTCCACCTCTTTCTTTGATCATTTATATTCCAGATCTAAGTGCAATGCCAAAGGTATAAACACAAAGCATGTATCAGTGTCTATCTCACTATTCTAACAGATAAGTACAGTAGACAGTTGTAAAATAAACAAAAATTGCTGTGGACACCAAGGGTACGTCTATACTTACCTCCGGGTTCGGCGGTAAGCAATCGATCTTCTGGGATCGATTTATCGCGTCTTGTCTAGACGCGATAAATCGATCCCGGAAGTGTTCGCCGTCGACACCGGTACTCCTGCTCTGCGAGAGCAGTACATGGAGTCGACGGGGGAGCCTGCCTGCCACGTGTGGACCCGTGGTAAGTACCTTGTAGTTCGAACTAAGATACTTCGACTTCATCTACGTTATTCACGTAGCTGAAGTTGCGTATCTTAGTTTGAACTGGGGGGGTTAGTGTGGACCAGCCCCAAGAGATAACATCAGTTTATATCATACAAGGTCTGACTTTCAGAGGTGCCGAGCATCTGCTGCTCTCACTAACTTCAACTGAAGTTGCAGCTGTTCAGAGCTTCTGAAAATCAGACCCATTTTGTTTCTAAACAATGTCACCAAATAATCTGCTTGGTTGTTTTGTCACAATGGCACAATTTTTAAAGGATTAGGTCAGGCAAACACATTTTTTGAACTTACAGCTGAGAGGCATGGTAACAGTTCCAGCATGAAAATAACTTGCATCAAACTCTCCCTTATATCCTATAAAAAAGAGAACAACTCTAGTCAACAATTGCCTAGAAGTAATCAGCACTTTGAGCCATGTAAACAGAATTTTTAATGTGCCCCCTCAAAGAAAAATCAAAGGAAATATATCCTGCAAACCTACTCTTTACCACAAGGGAAGCATAAGCTGAAAGTTCTCCTTTAACATTCATAGCAGAAGCTCGATACTGAGCGGTGTCTTCAAAATCACATCTGAAATGATGCAAATGATTAGGCAGGGCATCTAGTACTCTTTGTCATTTCTAGGATCTATGCCTGATATCAAAACATCATTTTCTAAACATTATTTTCACAATGTAATGTAGCAAATGGTTACTCAGTGTTGATTTAAATGCTTTTCTCTCTCATTCAATTAACAAGGGGCCTAAACCTTACTCAGGTAAAAGTCCCATTGAAGTCAATATAAATTACACCTGATTAAACTTAGACTGTCATTGATTTAAATGGATTTTGAAGCAGGCCATGA